CTATAAGAAAAAAAAATTCATACGAATCATTCATTTATCCGCGTTAATTTGATGAATAAATTCAATATTGATTGGTCTTCAATTTGCGATACTGACTGATTCTCAATTCAATCAATACAATTTTCTAACGCTGATTTATAGTATTAATCAATATCCGGTTTTCGATACTGATTTAGTCTTTGATTTCTCTATAAAAGAAAAAAAGATTGATATAAATTGTTCATTTATCCGCGTTAATTTGATGAAAAAATTAGATATTGAACGGTCTTCGATTTTTGGTACTGATTTATTTTCTCATTGTTTTACAAGACAAAAAAATTGATACGAATCGTTCGTTTATCCGAGTTAATTTGTTGAATGAGATAAAGGGGTAAGTACCTGAAAAATGAGAACATATTGTCATTGCACTTGGACAATTTTTTGACACTGATTTATGGTATTAATCGACATTCGATTTTTGGTACTGATTAACTCTTTCACTTCTCAATAAGAAAAAAAAATTCATACGAAACGTTCATTTATCCGCGTTAATTTGATGAATAAATTAAATATTGATCGGTCTTCAATTTTCGGTACTGACTGATTCTCAATTCAATCAATACAATTTTCTAACGCTGATTTATAGTATTAATCAATATCCGGTTTTCGATACTGATTTAGTCTTTGATTTCTCTATAAAAGAAAAAAAGATTGATACAAATTGTTCATTTATCCGCGTTAATTTGATGAAAAAATTAGATATTGAACGGTCTTCGATTTTCGGTACTGATTTATTTTCTCATTGTTTTACAAGACAAAAAAAATTTATACGAATCGTTCGTTTATCCGAGTTAATTTGTTGAATGAGATAAAGGGGTAAGTACCTGAAAAATGAGAACAAATTGTCATTGCACTTGGACAATTTTTTGACACTGATTTATGGTATTAATCGACATTCGATTTTTGGTATTGATTTACTCTTTCACTTCTCAATAAGAAAAAAAAATTCATACGAAACGTTCATTTATCCGCGTTAATTTGATGAATAAATTAAATATTGATCGGTCTTCAATTTTCGGTACTGACTGATTCTCAATTCAATCAATACAATTTTCTAACGCTGATTTATAGTATTAATCAATATCCGGTTTTCGATACTGATTTAGTCTTTGATTTTTCTATAAAAGAAAAAAAGATTGATATAAATTGTTCATTTATCCGCGTTAATTTGATGAAAAAATTAGATATTGAACGGTCTTCGATTTTCGGTACTGATTTATTTTCTTATTGTTTTACAAGACAAAAAAATTGATACGAATCGTTCGTTTATCCGAGTTAATTTGTTGAATGAGATAAAGGGGTAAGTACCTGAAAAATGAGAACAAATTGTCATTGCACTTGGACAATTTTTTGACACTGATTTATGGTATTAATCGACATTCGATTTTTGGTACTGATTTACTCTTTCACTTCTCAATAAGAAAAAAAATTCATACGAAACGTTCATTTACTCGCGTTAATTTAATGAATAAATTAAATATTGATCGGTCTTCAATTTTCGGTACTGACTGATTCTTTAATTTCTTTATAACAGAATAAGAATTGAATACGAATCGTTCTTTTATCCGACTTAATTTGTTGAGTAAATTAGTGGGGTAAGTACCTGCAAGATGAAAACAACTTGTCATTGCACTTAGACAATTTTCTAATGCTGATTTATAGTATTAATTAATATCCGATTTTCGATACTGATTTAGTCTTTGGTTTCTCTATAAAAGAAAAAAAGATTGATACAAATTGTTCATTTATCCGCGTTAATTTGATGAACAAATTAGATATTGAACGGTCTTCGATTTTCGGTACTGATTTATTTTCTTATTGTTTTACAAGACAAAAAAATTGATACGAATCGTTCGTTTATCCGAGTTAATTTGTTGAATGAGATAAAGGGGTAAGTACCTGAAAAATGAGAACAAATTGTCATTGCACTTGGACAATTTTTTGACACTGATTTATGGTATTAATCGACATTCGATTTTTGGTACTGAGTTACTCTTTCACTTCTCAATAAGAAAAAAAAATTCATACGAAACGTTCATTTACTCGCGTTAATTTAATGAATAAATTAAATATTGATCGGTCTTCAATTTTCGGTACTGACTGATTCTTTAATTTCTTTATAACAGAATAAGAATTGAATACGAATCGTTCTTTTATCCGACTTAATTTGTTGAGTAAATTAGTGGGGTAAGTACCTGCAAGATGAAAACAACTTGTCATTGCACTTAGACAATTTTCTAATGCTGATTTATAGTATTAATTAATATCCGATTTTCGATACTGATTTAGTCTTTGATTTCTCTATAAAAGAAAAAAAGATTGATACAAATTGTTCATTTATCCGCGTTAATTTGATGAAAAAATTAGATATTGAACGGTCTTCGATTTTCGGTACTGATTTATTTTCTCATTGTTTTACAAGACAAAAAAAATTTATACGAATCGTTCGTTTATCCGAGTTAATTTGTTGAATGAGATAAAGGGGTAAGTACCTGAAAAATGAGAACAAATTGTCATTGCACTTGGACAATTTTTTGACACTGATTTATGGTATTAATCGACATTCGATTTTTGGTACTGATTTACTCTTTCACTTCTCAATAAGAAAAAAAAATTCATACGAAACGTTCATTTATCCGCGTTAATTTGATGCATAAATTAAATATTGATCGGTCTTCAATTTTCGGTACTGACTGATTCTTTAATTTCTTTATAACAGAATAAAAATGGAATACGAATCGTTTTTTTATCCGACTTAATTTGCTGAGTAAATTAGTGGGGTAAGTACCTGCAAGATGAAAACAACTTGTCATTGCACTTGGACAATTTTCTTGACATTGATTTATGGTATTGATCAGTCTTCGGTTTTCGGTACTAATTTATTTGCTCATTTTTTTATAAGACAAAACAATTGATACGAATCGTTCATTTATCCGAGTTAATTTGTTGAATAAGATTAGAGGGGTAAGTACCTGAAAAATGAGAACAAATTGTCATTGCACTTGGATAATTTTTTGACACTGATTTATGATATTAATCGATATTCGATTTTCGGTACTAATTTACTCTTTCATTTCTCTGTAAGAAAACAGGTAATCGATATTCGATTTTCGGTACTGATTTACTCTTTCATTTCTCTATAAGAAAACAGAAAATTAATACGAATCGCCCATTAATCCGCGTTAATTTGATGAATAAATTAGATATTGATTGGCCTTCGATTTTCGGTACTGATTTATTGTCTCATTTCATTATAAGAGAAGAAAAATTGATACGAATTGTTCGTTTAACCGAGTTAATTTGTTGTGTAAATTACAGTGGTAACTACCTGAAAAGTGAGAACAAATTGTCATTGGATAATTTTCTGACACTGATTTATGGTATTAATTGGTATTCGATTTTCGATACTGATTTATTCTTTCATTGCTCTATAAGAAATGGAAAAATTGATACGAATCGTTCATTTATCCGCGTTAATTTTTTTTTTATTATATATAAGTGGTCCATGGGACGATTAAATATTCGAATACATGTTGCCGTATCAAAGTCTCCTCTATAATAAACGATTTGACACGTCTGGAGACGCATGATGTATCGTATCCCATTCCCTTCGTCCTGCTTCCCTGTATAAAATGTCGAATTGAAACGTATTAAAAAGTATTGACATTTTGAATATGTCTGAATTCTGAATCTTTTTGACCCGAAGAAAAGGATTGAAAAGTATTAGTTTCCATTAAATTTTACTGCGCTAAATGCGAGACGATCTCTTTCACCCGGGTGCCTCACCAGGGAAATTTCTCTGGTACGCTAAATTCCGTAAGGCCATCAGTTTTTGTAGTATATCTCATCGGTGCATAAGGTTTATATTACCTGTACATACATATTTTGAAACATTTTCTTTGGGTATTATATCAAACGGATTTTGCGTGTCACGTAATATCCTTCGGACTACACGGACATTATTATTTTGATCATTTTGATTTCTTTGGTATTCATTGAATTATCCAGAACGCGCAACTGCCATGTTGAACGACTCAATTGTCGTGTGAAATGTTTCGATTTTCACAAATTCATATAAAATTTTTCATTTTTCACTGACTCACAGAAGTCTTTCACTTTTTATTAGTTCACGCTAGGGAAAAGATTCATGATCGCTGCCCCGAGCAGCTGCAACGCTTTTCGAATCATCTATGTCGGCGCGCTTTTACTCCTCAGATTTCTGTCATTAATAACTCGATAATTATTGCAAATCTTGCAAAACGGTATGGGACTTTTATGTTTGTCTCAACCCAATCTACCCTCACACTTCGGGTTGGCAGTAATGACCGTATACTTTGTATGATCTTCATGATATTAATCATACACAATGTCAATTCTTTTTCTTTTGGCACATGTTAACATGTTAATTCATGTTATAAACGCGTAACAATGTGCGAGACCGTGCTTGTCAAGTACGCTATTATTTTTGTAGCACGGACATAAACCGCCTGAAAGTGGATATAGCATGGACTGCCACCACATGCAGGTTTTACCGCCGAAACCTGAAAGTAGATGTAGCATCGTAGTTCCCCTCTCAAAATATATACAGATGGCGCCCTTTCCCAGTGCGGAAAGTCGATGTCGTCGTAAACACCGTGTTGGCTGCTCTCACGTTCCTCTCTGTTATTAATCGTAAGTTGTAACCAAATTGACCAACCACAGTCGATTATTTTTGAAATAATCAATTGTGATTGGTCAATTTGCTTATAGCTTATGACTAATTGATTATTGTAGAAGGCCTCTTTTATTAGTCTTAAGGCTCGTTTACAATAGCTGTAAGCCAGCGGCACATGGTGCTTGTTTTCGTGTTGGATTGCTTGCTGGATGAAAATACTGCGTTCTGGTACATTTCGCGATTGGTACATTTCCGAAGATGGATGGAAATGTACCAATCACAACGCAATATTTTCATCCAGCAAGCAATCTAGCACAAAAACAAGCACCGTGTGCCGCTGGCTTTACACTGTGTTACATTAATAGCGTAATTTGAACGCAATTTACACTGCAATTGATTTGAATTACGCAAAATATGAGTTTTAAAGGAGTTTTATGGAGACAATTATCAAATTGATGTGTGTACAAATTGACTTGTGTACAAATTGATTTGTGTACAAATTGATGTGTGTATAATTTTTTGTGTAATCTTACATTTCATAACACGTTATAACCTTCCTGTGACTTGTTCAAGATAATTTGTTTTTAAAAACTTTGTAAATATAAGAGATGTATCATAATACAATTAGGAAAATACCTGGCGAAATACTGCCTCCTTCGAAAAAAGAAAGTCAAGGATATATCGATAATTTAGGAAAGAAACAGAAGTTTATATTAGAGGAGCTTTTAGAAAGACAGAAGAAGATACTTGCCAATAAGTAAATATAGTTTGAATTGTATATATTTATTCCATTATTAAATATTTATTTAATTCATTTTTCTTTTTAGAAATTTTATCTGTAAGCTTCCTGATAAAGGAGAGAAAATTATTAGATTCCATGATAAAATATTGAAAGAACTTGAACATAGAAATGAAGTAGAAAATGCAGCTAATTTATTATCGCGTCTTAACATAGCATGTGAAGGTAAAGCTGCTATGAGTAAATTAGAATGGACAGGCAAATATAATGGAAATGAAATAACCAATATTACTGAATTGGACAGTGACGATGAAGAAGATCCATTAAAGATACTAGCTCAGGTAAATTACAATTTGTATAAAGCACTGATAATTATTCTCAATGAACAAATCATTTTAATAAATATAAATTGTCTTCAAATAGCCTACAGGATCTGGTGTTCATAAAAAGAAAATTATACGTGTGATAACTGAAGAGAGTCTTATCAAACCAGAGGACCTAACAGAAATAGAATCTTTCAAGAGAGATCCTTCAAATGTGGAACATGTGAAATATATTATTGATAAAGTAGAAAAAGCACAGCGGACCAATAAGAATAAGGAACCATTTAGACCTTATAAAACAACAAAAAGTGATGTGCATGATCCAATGAAAGAGAAACAAAGAAAGCAGCATAAAAATTGGGAAGTCACAGCAGCTACACCCTACTTATAGGTTCAGGAGCAGCAAAACTTTTGAATCTAATGAATCATGAAATATGCAAGAAGAGAGCAAAGCAAAGTATACAGGTATGCTACTTTTAAATCCATTTCCCTGGAAAATTTCTTTAAAAATTGCATTCTTCATATAACTATTTATTTTTTTATTATAAAACAGGAAATTCAGCAATAGAGTAGAACGTTGGCTAATCAAATAGGACTACACAAAATAGGCTCTGCACCTATCCATGAAAGAGAAACAAGAAAGCGCATAAAAATTGGGCAGTCACAGCAGATACACCACCTCTTATAGTTCATGGAGCAGCAAAACTTTTGAATCTTAATGAATCATTGAAATTGCAGAAGGAGCAAATAGAAGTTACAGGTAACTGCTACTTTTAAATCATTTCCCTGTGAAAATTCTTTAAAAATTGCATTCTTCATATAACTATTTTTTTTTTATTATAACAGGAAATTCAAAGCCAAATACGCAGTAGAACGTTGGCTAATTCAATAGACTACACCAAAATAGGCTCTGCACCTAAAATGATGGGAATTATCGTTTACAGCATGCGAGTGATTCCTCTTCTTCAGAGATGAAGAAATTTCCAAATAGACCTGACGCGTCTTTTGTTTTCTAAAGTACGAACCACAGCTTTGTACTTCCATCCAACTTCATGAGACAGTCTGCCTACATGGCAATACTAAAACAAAAGAAAGGAATTCATGTTAGTATTATAGTACAATGATTATGTGCCAAGTATGAGATTATGAAATTTTATGACTCAGTTTAAAGTGACAACATGATGATCACGTGGACCAATTTCAGTCGCAAATTACCATACCATCATTGTTTTTCCATAAATAAGAACAAAATTTAAATTTATAAGAATAAATGTATCATACACAATCTTACCTTTCTACCTGGTTTAAGACACATTACTCTCATGGCACCAGGTACGACAACACGTTTTCTTCGGTCGTATGGTGGTGGACATCCTTCGTAAACTTTCAATCTCCTAAGGGCGTCCTTTCCTCTCTGGGTCTTGTGTGGGATCATTCCTACAAATAAGGGCATCTTTTTAATATTTATGTATTTATTGCCTTGAAAGACAACATATATATAATTTCAGCATCATTTAAAAACATTGTTTTCATTATATTGTCAAATAATGTAGGTAAGATATTCATAATCATGTGCATAAATCTCATCTATCATACATATACTAATATATAATGTTAAATACACATACCACGAACAGTTTTCCACAGAATTTTGCTGGGAGCACGGAAATGGAATGGCCCACGAGCTGGATTGACATTACATCTCTTTCGTAGAAAAGACATAAACTTTAATTTATTTCTGGAATAAAAAAGAAAAGAAAATAATATTAATTCTATAGAATACTAAATTTTAAATATGTTAGATATTATCATATTACAATATTGCAATATCAATAAGAATTAATAATAACATATTATTATAACCTAGTGTAGTAATAAATTTCTTTGTAATAAAAATATGCAAAATACAATTGATAGCAAAAAGTACCATCCATTTCTATCATAGAAATATAGTAGATATATGAAATAATCTATCAATGAAATAATTCCATAATGCTTTCATAGTTGGTTATTGAAATTTTCATACTGCTTCACTAACCTGAAGAAGTTACCAGAAATGTTTAATTGTTCACTTCGTACAACAATAACTTTGTTGCCTTCCAGAATAGTCTTGGCAATAATTGCTGCCAAACGTCCAAGTAAATGGCCACGGCCATCTATTAATATTGGCTAAAATTGTTAGTTTCGATTAAAAAAAATAAACTTATGTCGAATACGAATTTAGATAACATTCACAAGATGCAATACGTGATCCACGTGTTTATAGAATTCGAACAGCATATACATACTGCGTACTTTAAAATATAAAATACTCTACCGCAAAAATTACAGCATTGTTGCAAAATTTTCATGTGACGTGTATAGCGTGACCGAAATATTGCTCGAAATAGAGACAAAGCTGTAGAAAACACGTGTATGGTATGCGAGGAATCATAGATTTCATGTTTTTTACTTATAACTTTCTTTCAAAGAATTTTAAAGGACTCATACGTTACTTTACATGCTAAATAATCGTGATTATATACATACACCGTTGTGAAGGCAATTAAAATTATTTAAAATATATTTTTGAGTACAAACCTTTTCGCTGAAGCCCGTCATCTTGCTATCCTACCGGAAAAAGACTGAAACCAAATGAACACGCGAATCTCACCGGAAGACGAGTTTAGTCCACTCATAGAATTACCAACATCTGAAAAGATTAACCAATATTATGCTATGTCATCCACTATAGAAATTAAAGCCTGATCCACATTATCTGCTCACTGTCCAATTATGTTCCTAGGTTAGCATTTATAGGTTGCATTCCGATATTTACTATTAACATTAAAAAATAAAAAAAATAAATCTAAAAAATCGATTATAAAAAGTATCAATTTTTAATAATATCAATAATTGATAAAATTGTGGAAATTGTGAAAATGGTGAATAAAAATCGATTAATTTAAACATTTCTAGTAGTTATTTTTACCTAATAATGATAAATACTTTAAAAATCTGTATATAGCTGGCGGTATAACGGTGTTTGTTTTCGTGCTGGATTGCTTGCTGGATGAAAATACTGCGTTCTGATTGGTGCATTTTCATCCATCTTCGGAAATGTACCAATCAGAACGCAGTATTTTCATCCAGCAAGCAATCCAGCACCTTGTGCTGCTGGCTTAACATTATCTAAAGCCTCATTCAACATTCACATTATTCACGTTGTTCGTAAATGTTGACAGCTGTAGAACAGAGTGAGAAAGTACTAATCACAACAAGTTTGACAGTAAATAACTTTAGGAAAATAGTATATATAACATATCAAAATATTTATCAGAAAAATATCATAAAATATATATAAAAATATCGATAACTCTGCATATTATGTAATTATTAATTATTTATGCTTACAATATATATTTGATTTGCTAATGTAGATATATATATATTTGCCATAGACATATATAGATAGACTGTGCGTCCCGTGAGAGGACTTGAAGACAACATTAAAGTGAGAGAAGCGATAGTTGAGGGAGTGTGTCTCTGTCGAATATGTGTCTTGCAAGGAGATGACCCAACCTGTTTCATCGATTTCAACACGAGTCATAGCACACTCGATAGCTATGATGCCGTGTATAAACGCCCTAACATAATATGCGTGAATGCGTCTTTGTTGAGTAATTTGCAGTTCAAGTTTGGCTCGCGGAGCCGTGCCACACATAGGGCGCAAGTTACGACACCCTTTCACGAAGCGGCGTGGCTGATTGTGAGCAGACAGAGGCTCTCGCGCCACGAACACTTTCGCGCCGACGACGGTGTTCGAGTCCCGCCGACGACTGGTTCGTTTTTTTTTCGTATGTAAAGACATGTAATAAATATTTTTATATTGTTCTTATGTATAATTCCTTTTTTTGTTTCTACGCTATTAATCAAGGCTAATTAGGAGAGTCAGGTCTTTCAAATATGAACACAACTTTTTTATTAATTACAATAAAATGTTTTTGTCCGTATCAAAACACATACACACACACACACATAAACAAATATAAGGCACACAAATGAAAGTTACGTATTATAAAATGTGGTCATGCTGTCGCAACTCTGCGGATGGAATGCCGTATAAAAGCATGTAAAACATAATAGTTTTTTGCACCAACTGCACGTAATGAACGCATAATTTTTTACACAAATACACTTTTGACTATGTATAGTTGGTGGAAAACATATTTGATTGACGTTGTAAAATACCTCGCGACTGTCAACAAGACTGGACGCATACCACGCATATTGGAGCATAAAATTGAAAACTGGTGCTGATAACAAATAGTGTGTGAGCGATTGTATACGAATCGCATCAGCGCGAGTGTTCCAATTTATAATTTCGTCGCCGATATATAAAGAAGGACAGTTCTGTATACGCTTTATAATGATTTTGACCTGTCTATAGAAATAAACATCGCACGGTTGACAAATTGGCGTACATTTTGGTGGTATTATTTGTAGGTTACACGTTGGCCTATTGTTATTATCGCGAAATATTTCGTTATACATATGAATATTCTTTTGTCCTCCCCAAGAATCAACAAGAAATAAAAACTGATGATTACCAACGTACGGCTTGAGAACCAGTTTCAAATATTGCTGGTAGAAAGATGTTGTTAATTTCCCTGATTTGGAGCAGACTGGAACAACATTTTTACATAATAGCAATAACGCATCTACCTCTTTCTGTACCCGGACTCCAAATGTATCGGAAGTCTCTTGTAAGCAAACGAACACTTTATTTAATAGCTTGCCCGATTGTGTGACAGAATATTGTGCAGTATAAGAGTGAGTCACTTTGTTTAGGTCGCCGATATATAATTGTACCAATTTTTCGCCAGTATGCGTGGTCGTTCGTGCAACATTTACGCGATATTCGCAGCCCATTTGGTCAGAATTTATTATGAAATCTGGGTCGTAATCCGGTGATATACTTCTAATTAATTTTTGAAAGTGTACAGCGGATTCCATCACAGCTTGCGGTGATATTATTTCTCTTTTTGATAAATACCGAACAATTCGACGGTTAGAAATTTTGTATTCACGTAGAAATGACGTTAACCATGTGTTCGATGCTACAAAGCGGAAAGCTTTGTCACGTTTTTCGCTTTCTTCTCCTTGTTTGTTATATTGAACGGCTGCAGCCATCGCCCACTGTTGAAGGAGACGTCGTGTAACAAGTTGCCTTTGCTCTCTTGCTTCCGTAAACCGATCATACACATTCCGTTTTATTAATTGCAGCTTATCCCAATAATTTCCACCAGATAAAATGTATTTGCGGAAGCGTGCAACTTCACTGTGATAATGCAAATGCTTTTTAAACTTGCTTTGTAACGTACGGAAGCTCCAATTCGGATGTTCGTTTGCGGTCATAACTATTTTCAATTTTACGTCATACGGCACTAGATACATCGCTGCAACTTTTTGCGGAGGTTCGTAGTCTTCCGTTCTTTGACTCATATGAGGCTTGTCCGGAGAAGACTCTTCCGTTCTTTGACTCGTATGAGGCTCGTCCGAAGAAGATGATTGAACATCTTCCATCGTGTCTTCTTCAATCTCGTCTTCTCCTTCTGCTATATAATATTCCACCTCATCTGATATTTTATGTTTTCCCAGCAGTTTAATTAATTTTTCAAACAATTTTCCGCCAATTAATTTGGAATTTTTTGATAATTTTCTTGGCGCTTCATTATTAATTAAATTAAATTGTATCAGGACATCTGCAAATATGAATTCAATATAATTGATATTGTATACAAGGCCAATAACAATACGTACAAATATATCTTTCCATTGCTCACACATTCAATATATTTACCTCGAAGATATTCTATTGCGTCTGTCAACTCTTCTTTCGTAATATCACATTTTGCTAGATTTTGCACATAGCTGATCGTTGCTTCATCTACAAACGTGGTTTCCATTTTTAACACGAGTTTTTCACTGTTCACGTTACGAAGACTGCCCAGAGAATGAAGCGAGCACGTCACAAAACATGAGAATCCCTCTGCGAGAAGGGGAAAGGAAAGAGGGTTCCTTTCCACTTGTAACGGTTCTAACGGCTCTTGGGTTTCTCTCACACAAAATAATCACTGTCTGCCCATTTCTTTCCCATACCATACGAAATATTTATGCGAAATAGATTTACACGAAAAAAACATTTTATTGTAATTAATAAAAAAGTTGTATTCATATTTGAAAGACCTGACTCTCCTAATTAGCCTTGATTAATAGCGTAGAAACAAAAAAAGGAATTATACATAAGAACAATATAAAAATATTTATTACATGTCTTTACATACGAAAAAAAACGAACCAGTCGTCAGCGGGACTCGAACGCCGTCGTCGGCGCGAAAGTGTTCGTGGCGCGGGAGCCTCTGTCTGCTCACAATCAGCCACGCCGCTTCGTGAAAGGGTGTCGTAACTTGCGCCCTATGTGTGGCACGGCTCCGCGAGCCAAACTTGAACTGCAAATTACTCGTAAACAAAGACGCATTCACGCATATTATGTTAGGGCGTTTATACACGGCATCATAGCTATCGAGTGTGCTATGACTCGTGTTGAAATCGATGAAACAGGTTGCGTCATCTCCTTGTTGGTGGGGTTAGGTTAGGTGGGGAAAGCCGAAGAGGAAAATAGGAGTACAGTTATACGAGCTGTATAAAGGTTATGGTTCGCAAATCTGTTGACCTTGCTAGATTTAAACTCTGGTTGTTTTGATCACTGTTATGGCTTATTTGAAAAATAGAATAGGACAGAGAAACACTTCGAAACATTTGTAGCGGTCGCAGGGTACCTATTATGGAACTCGTCGGAATCGATTCCGATCGAATTTATTCCGTTATTTCCTAGATTTTTATTGTCTTTTCTAGGGGAAACGGAATTATTCCGATCGGAATTGATTCCGACGAGTTCCATGATAGGTACCCTGGACCGCACCCGACGTTACCTTTCCCCTTGTGTCGTTTTCACCCCTCTCTTAATACAGAGCGAAAGAGAGAGCCTCACTCACACAAAAGCTCTGTCTAATGTAATCTTCAGCGCATCCATAAGAATGCGCAGTCTATCTATATAACTCTATGATATTTGCATTCAACGTTCACATGATTTATGTAGTTGTACGCCATATTACTTTTGACAGTCTATAGGATAAAGTGAGAGAGGTTTGATGCCGTGCAACGTTTTCACTCTGTCGTAAACTACCAACTTCCGGCTTCACTCTTCTCGAGGGAATGTTTGGGCGTGTTCCAAAATTCATTGCCAGCGCTGAAAAGTTATAGTTTGCGTGACACAAACTATATATTTTCAGTACTGGCAGTGAATTTTGGAACACGGCCTTGGTCTAGTTATATACATCATTGATGGAGGCTGCGTTCCGATATTCACTGCTAGTATTAAAAATATATAATTTGTGTCATGTTTACTATAGATTTTTAATGCTGGCAGTGAATATCGGAGCACAGCCGGATACATGTAAAGGTCATTCTACAATACGTGTCGTAAGTTGTAAGCCGTAAAAATTGGCAAATCAGAATCAATTATTACAAAAATAATCGGCTATAATTGGTTAGTTCTTACGGCTTACAACTTACGACATGTATTGTAGAATGACCTTAAAGTCCGTATCAAACTATGGATTGAGATCAGATTGGATTGAAATTTGACCAATTGGAAAAAAGAAAATAATCTCAAATATAATAAACTTGGCCTTGATTGGTTAAATTTTAATCTAATACTCAATCCCAATCCGTAGTCTGATACGGGCTTAACGCTTTTGAATTAAAGGTCATTCTACAATACGTGTCATAAGTTGTAAGCCGTAAGAACTGACCAATTATAGCCGATTATTTTTGTAATAATCGACTGTGATTCGCCAATTCTTACGGCTTACAACTTACGACACGTATTGTAGAATGACCTTTAGTAGATCCTACGTATCATTCATTGAATTGATGATTTGCATCTAGATGTTTTCACTTCGTGGTCGATTCGTCAAGTACACGAAGTAGGAGAGTCGTCCATTACGTCAAAGATTTGAAAATTTAAACGTTCGTAAGGGGTTTGGTGCGGTGATTTGTGTTAATAGTGATGAGCGTGTAGTATCAATTAAGAGTTCACTCATCACCGACGTAATACATGTTATCGAAAAATCGCTGCCGATCGAAGGATTGTAACGGCATTTGCGATAACGCTAATTATTTTCTTCCTGATTCTGTTGTACACATTGATAATCGGAAACGTAGTTCAGGATTGAAGGATAGTTTTTATACAAATTTTCCGTTCGTTTCTGAGGACAAATTCATGCAACATGGCGACTGAAAATAGGTATCGTGTCTTTTCACTTCTACGACACCAAGCTCGTGTCGTTTCCTTCGTATTTGTTTAATTTAAAATTGTTCTCGTTACCTGGGATGCAAATCTGCATCACACAGAAGTAGAAAATATCCAAAATCTTCTATATCCCCTTCTACACATCTTTCCTTCTATATATAGCAGGTTGATTATTTCAATAAGCAGTGTCTAATAGAACATTATGTGCTTATGTTTGATGGAAGTAGTTTCACATTATATTAAATGTCAGTTTTTAATTGCATTTTTATAAGAAACGGTCCACAAAATTATAAGTTAGTTTGTAAGTGTGTGTATTATAACTTGAGAATAGCTTTCTATATATATATACATATATATATATAGCTATTCTCAAGTTTATATTTGACAAATATTCTAAAGTATATATACATACTCACACACACAACATATACATACCATTGTATTAATTGGACAAAGTTCTGAAAAGATTTTTTTATTTATTTTCATGATTTTCACTTGATAAAATAACCTATATAACTATGAACAAGTATAAATGCATGCATTTAAAATTTTTTAAATTTAATTGAGTAAATACTGATGGTTTAATTTGTCATTTTTGGTCAAGAATATATTAAGGATATTCTAATTTCAAATATGTTTATCTATATCATTGACCTTTACTATTATATTTAATACAAATATAATATGTAATATATATATATTATATGCATATCTATTTTTATATAAGTTACTTTTATTTTACCTGTTCTTAAATTAATGAAGAATTGTTTTTGGAACTTTATAGATATCATGGTTAATTAGGTTATCTTTATTATAAAAAATTATTTATATGTAATACATATTATATTAACACATATATATATATATTTACATGTAATATATATTTGAAGTTCTAATATTCTATAAAAAAAATATAAATATATAAATATAGATATATATATGTGTTTATATTTATATATATGTTTGTATTTACAATTTTCTTATAACATATAATTTTACAGAATAATTTCTGAAACTATTTCATTTTTTTTTTTTTTTTCAGAAGACTGTGATGTAACTTGACTGTGATAAAACTAAATAAAACTAAATAAAGCTTATGATCTATAGCACTGATGAAAGTGAAGACACATTAAATTGCATGCAGCAAATGTTTGGAAGTTAATTGTTAAAAACATATATTTTGCAGGCAAAGTTGTATATGTAAAATTAATATAAGTAATAAAATTAATATAATTGCATCAAGATTTAAAAATTGAGAAATAGCAAATTAAAAATATACAGGCTATTTTTTGTTTATGCAATTGTTGAATTCTAGATTAACTTAATAGATCCTCAAAGGACATAGCAAAATTATCTTGCAAAATTATATATGAAGAGAGAAGAAGGGAAACAAAAAAGAAAAAAATTAATATAAAAAAAAACTTAAAAACGAAGAAAAATTTAAAAAGAAAAAAAAACAAGACAAAGCAAGAAGCTTGGAGCTTTTCTAAGTATATATATATATATAAAATAAGTAAAATATTATTGGAAAATATCGATTTCTAGAAATATTTTTGAGGACTATCTAGAACGATACACAGTTACGTTAATAATTTGTGCCCTCTCAACAAACAAATCTTGTAATATCCTCTATTCGCTATGCACCATACTACATTTCCGTCGCAAATTATGTCACAAATGAATGGACAACAGACCAATGGACAATGCTCACTAGCTCAAGCTCATGTCTTTCATTTTAATAGTACAATGAATACAAATACATTGTATCAAGCCAATTACACCCAGTACAACCCAAATGTTTCCGGACACGGTAGACGTCGTATAATGCAGGTATATGTTAATATTTCTTGTACTTATTTTGAGCAATGTGTAGTAACATTATGTATCCGCTTATTTGTTAAATATACTTTATATTTTATGCATGCGTATATGTGTATTTATGATAACATTTTGTAACTGTGATAAATCGTAAATGTAGAAATGTAATAATCACACTAAAAAAATCATTTTGCATATTATATAGTTATATATTTAAAAATTATAATTTAGATGTATAAATATGAAAATATATTTTATTATATCCAAAATTAAGCTCATATATAAAAGATAATAATGAGATTAATTCAGTGATTTGAATCTTTTTGTATTAGGTTTTAATTATTATATTCAAACTACACAGAAGAAGATAAGCATTAATATTATAATGTTTTTTATACTACTTATATGTTGGTTTTGTATTTTATTTTATTTTAAAATTATATTATGTTTTTCTATTAGAACATACAAATCATATATTTACAGACAGCATTGCGACCATTGGACCTGTTACGACAACTGGGAGTTGATATATCATCAGTGCGATACACGGATTACGCACAATTAAACAATTTTTCTGGAAATTGGTTAAAGAGAATTAATACATTTGGTGATGTACCAGTTTTAAATGTACCTCAATATACCAAGCCTCTAAATAATAATATAACAAAGAAACCAATCTGGTTAAATAAAGGAAGACCATTTAGAGGACCTTTCAAAAAGAATGAATTATATAATAATAATAATAACGATAATAATAATAATAACAATAATAATAATAGTAATAATAGTGGAAGTAATCCTTGTCCAACAAAACCAAAGAAGTATTACAACAATTTAACAGAGATATATGAAGTTACAAGTTTAGGAGGGCCAGATATAAAGTAAATATATTATGTATTTTTTTTAGATATATATTTCTGTTATTGAACAAATATTACATTAAATGTGTATCATTAATGAGAAGTAACTTCTTTTGTTTTTTTTTTTTAGTAAACATCCAGCGATAAGATCAAGAGAAATATCTTTAGAATCCTTTTTGGGATATATACAAGAATATTATTATACTCAGAATGTGTGTCCACCAATTTCATTTCGAACATGTAGAACATGTATGGCAAAGCATGGTAGGTGTAAGTTTACTTAACTTAAAACTTACTTTTGTTCTTATAACATTTCATATAGATATTGATAAAAATATAATTATGTGATGAGTTGGTATCTAATTTACCATAAATTAAACAACTTATTTTCAGAAAGGGGTAGTTTTCCAGCATTAGGTCGTATATTTCATAAAGGTTTTATAGATCCTGATAGATACCTTGCTGAATCTCACTTGGTGGAGATAACTTCTGTACCAGGTAATCTTGTCACTGAACCGATAAAATGGGACGACCTGTCGCGACAGATTTGGTCAATGTTTATATCAAATCAACAAACAGAATCTACTTATAGAAATAAAATAATGCTATGGAAAAATCTTCAATGTCATATCAGAGTAAGATATAATTATAATTAGTAAGCAAATAAAACATTGTTGAAACAATTTGGAGAAAAATGGAATCTGAGACATATATTAAATAATTTACATATATGTTTAAGAAAACGATAGTATATTTTTTGCAGAAATGGTACCGAAGATACGACTTGATTATGATAGGCTCAACAATGAATGGATTTGGGCTTGAAAATAGTGATGTCGACATGTGTCTTTTAGTCAGACACGAAAAAGTGGATAACAGGGATACGGCCCTTATGCATTTAAATCAAGCATTAAGGTGCCTTCAGCGATATAGTATGTACAAGTTTCTAGGATTATTATATCATATATTATATATTATATTTATAACTGTGTTTTGCAAGTTTTGAGCCTTTTAGGCATATCACAGTTATTAAATAATACAATATATTTCATATCTTAATGATAGATTCTTTTTGTTTTTATTTTTTGTTTTAGAGTCTGCAGAAAATTTGGAAATTATACAAGCAAAAGTGCCTATCATAAATTTTCATGATTCAAGACAAAATTTAAATATTGATATAAATTGTAACAGCAGTGTTGCCATCCTGAACACACATTTGTTATATTGTTATTCGAGAAGTAAGTTTATTAAATATATAACATTCGATTAATACCACAAGGTCCATATTATTTTTACAGTTATCACCTGATTAAATATTTTTACAGTTGATTGGAGGGTAAAACCGTTGGTGTTAATTGTAAAATTATGGGCGCAATTTCATAAAATCAATAGTGCAAGGAATAATACATTATCTAGTTATTCTTTGACCCTCATGGTCATAAGCTTTTTACAGTGTATGTATGCAATAGTGTAACGTTTATTTTTTCTGCTTCAATTTTAAGAATTTCGATGTTGTTATTTTACAGGTGGTATTAATCCTCCGATCCTGCCGAACTTGCAGAACCATACAAGCCAATTTCGAAGCTTTTATCACGAAGATATCCAACCTATTATTGAAGATATTCATAAGAAAGATCTAGGACCAATATATATCGGTTCTTCATTATATCAGAGTAGAAATACGCAATCTCTCGGAGAATTGCTTCACGAGTTCTTTAAATATTACATAAGTTTCGAGTGAGTGATGTCAGGTGTAAACGATGTTTGAACTATTTCAACAAATAATACATAATATTTCATATCTTTACATCAGATTCGAGCATCATGCGGTATCTATAGAAGCGGGATATAAAATAAAAAAAGAAACTTGTCGTTTGGCGTCCTACCCTAATAACAACCGTGGTCATTGGAAATATATAGGTATCGAAGGTAAAAATATTAATTGTTCTTTTATAATGCATTATTTATATTATTTTTATTATTCGTTGTATTGTCATTCCTTTATATAATATATAAGTCTTAAAAAAGTACATTATGTCTGTCACACATGATATTTATTGAAACCATTGTAATATTATAGAGCCATTTGACCGCACCAATACAGCGAAAGCTGTCTTTGACGAAAAAATATTCTATAGGATTCAATCCGTAATTGGTCAGTCATATAAACAATTAGCTGGTAATAACAATCTTAACAGCCTATTCATCGAGATATCAGAAGAGCAATGTCCATCACTTGAATCGCATGAGCCTGATGCACATGCCATCTAAGTACCTCGTACCTAGTATCTGCTAGACTGACACATAAAAGGCTTAATCATTAATTAGAACATAAATGATACGTAAAAGCGCTTTATTTTTGATGATTCTTAAGTTGCTTTGATTGGATTGGGAAGGCATAAGGAACATTGGCTTAAAGGTCTGTGAATCTAAAATTATATAATTGGATAAAGAAAAGTGGAATAAGGTTGTTTAGAGTATTTTACATGATGTGTTTGATATTCTTTGTAATATTACAATTTTTTGAACAATTTATAAAAATTATAAGAGATCCAGCAGAATGATAACTTGTTCTGCGTTCGATTTTTCAACTTGATTTATGTTCTTCAATTTTGTAATCACTTTGTAAAAGATAATTTCAGAGTTATTATGGACCATACGGCATTTAGAAAAAAGACAAGACTGTGATGATTCAACGCAGCTTAGATGTGAACTTATGTCTAATATATATCTCGCTCTTTGTTTTTGGAGGATAGCAATTGTGTAAAAAAGCAAGTATTACCTCCTTTTTTATGTATATAATGCTGTTATTTTAGGATATTAACTATCCAAATTATTTTCGTGATGTATAGATATTATGTAATTTATAGCTCAAAAAGTTTTTGATTGAGAATATGTTCTTAAAGATTAACAATTATGTATACAAGTAAAGTAGCGTAACATAAAAAAATATAAACTTAGTCAAATATCGCGTCAAGATTAAGTCGGTTCTTTTCGATAATTTTCAATATTAAATATATACTTAAGACTAAAATTTAGAAATATTAATATATGTATGTATGCATATGAGACATACACACATACACACGATTAATTCACTTGGATTCCTAATATTTTTTTACTTAAATTTATATTTTCTATTTCTTCTTGTTTCATAACATATAAAAGATAATAGTAAAAATTTACATATTTTCCATGTAAAATTACACTAGGTTTTTATTTTTTTCTAAAAAATAGCAATTATAAAAAATAAATGCTGTTTTCTTTTTTCATTGATAATGTTATTATTTTAAAATATTATTTTAATGTTAGACACATAGCATTAATTAATATATAATGATTAACGTAAAAGCGAACTGCATTCGTTTACAAATAGTAAAAATTGTGTTTCTTAAAGATGTTACAATGTTGATTCCGAAATTCCTCCATGAAAAGCGATAAAAAAATGAAAGAAAATTAAAATGATTCAAGAAGAACACTTACATCGTAAGACGATCAGTCGTATTTCATTTGGTCCTATTCTTCTAAATTATTTAAATTAGCGAAAATTAAGTTATCACATCATTTAAGAAAATATTAAGTTATAGTTTAGTCGTTAATGGCTTCAATATGATTCAAAATTTCGTTAGAATTATATTTCAATATATTCGTTTTAATGTTTAATGTATATATGTATATATTATTGCTTCATATATCAATCTTTCATATACGCAACATACATACATGCAGATACACATGCACGCAGTACATATACACGCACGCACACACACATAAATACATAAAAACAATTAAAGAGTATAAAATTATTTTGTTAGAATTTAATTATAACATATTCTCAATTAAAAATTGTTTGAATTATAGATAATATAGAATACATACGTTAAAAGACAAATTACACGCGGAATATTCAAATAATACCTTAGCATAACAGAATTATATATAAAAAAAGAGAAAGTAATATTTATTTTTTCTTATAATTATACAAGAGAAATATCGAACGTAAACTTTTATTTAAGTTGCATTAGTTAACTAGAAATTATTCGTCTTCTTCCAGGATGCTGTGTAATCGATGTAAGATTTTCCACAAAACGATTAGAAAATTGTAGGTTATAAATTAAATTAGAAAATAAAATGAAGGACGAATTATATTTTGCTGTAATTTTTGTGATTATTATAAATTGTTCGAAAAAAATAACTGAATGTCACGATATACTGAATTATACACAATATACTGAATCGTGTGGTATACTCGAGATAGACTTATTCCACCTTTTGTTTTTCAGTCATTAAAATCATTACGCGATATCTTGTCATTTTATTAAATGATGACGACTTAAATTTAGTTGATCAAAAACAATTTGGAAGAATAGAACGAAGTGAAATCAAACTGTCTAAACTGTTTTATGACACGTAAGTCTCTATCAAATTTATAATTTCGATATGTATATATATATATATGTGTGTGTATATATATCATAACATATAGCATAATTTGTTCTCCATTTCATTTTTCAATATATAATTTCTGTTTTTTCTGAAAATTACTTTTTATGGAAGAATTTCAGAATCATCCTTGATTATATAGTATTCAGAGAGAGTATTCCAGAGAGAAGCAGGATATTTTCTACTACTTTTGGAGAAGAATTCTAAGAGCGCTTTTAATCATTATTTACATTCTAGTTAATGAGCCTTTATGCGAACCTTGCGATTAATATTATACGTCTAATATTAAAATAATATATTAAAGAAGTATCATTATATCTGTAAAAAAGGAGGAAATAGTACTTATTCTTTTCTGTAATTGTTATTTAAAAAGGAAACAGGCGTAAGTTCACATAAATACATAAATTTTTAGTATTGTCTTTTATATAATATTAAAAATCAAAAACTATATAAAAGATGTTCATCAAAATCAAAAAAAAATGTTGATAATATTTTAATCTGAAATATATGCAACATAATTGTACAGTAAGTTAGTAAGGCTGTTTTGTTGAAAGTAATTTCGTACGTGACTATAAACCAACGAGTATAAAATATATTTGTGCCTTGAATCTAATTATTTGCTACTTTAATTACTACTATTTTAGTTATGTATGAAACTGTACATTAAACGGTCTCATTCTTTTACTGTAAAAATATGATGTATGATTCTGTGATGATATCTGTAGCAGTGAAATTAACATATAACAAAAAATATAGTACTATCTGTAGTAATAATTTAATTATAACAGCGTAATAACTATAGTTAATTATTATAGCCATAGTAGTTATTATAGTAATTACATTAACTTTAGATTCTCGTACGAACAAAGTATATGTAATAGACAAGGTAAATTTAACGTTCCACTTTTAATTACATTCATTTGCATACTTACGGTATCCAATATATGTATAGGCTTTGTTTAAGAATGAAAATAACCGATTCAATTCTGACATGACATTTGACTAGATCTGTATCATTCTGTACATACCGCATATTTCTATATATACCACTTTGTAAAAATGTCGTTCATTATATATTTATAAAAGCACAAAGAAAAGAATGAGACTAGTGAGAATGATCAAACAATTTGAACGAACCATGTTAAATTAAATTACAGGCATCATCCATTGTGTAAATAATTAAGATGAGTATCATTAACTGTTAGGCAGATAACTTAGATAAGGCGGATAATTTAATCAATTAAATAATTGTGCAATTTTGCATTTTTCTGTGGAAAGTTTGCTTAAATATATGATCTCATAAATCTGCAAAATTTGTAATCCTGGCTTCCTTATTAAATAAATGAAATATTTATATAAAATGTTTATGCGTATACTGCATCTCGTTGTATACATTTTTATTTGTCCCGGTGGGAAACAATAACAAAACATCATATTTTCAAATCAAATTTATTTTTCCATAAGAGAGAAGAGATCTCACAATAAATTTTATTATAATCTGCAGTTAGCGGTGCGCTGTTGGTCGAAGAGAAAAAAATAAAACAATTTAATGTTGCGTAACGCAAGTTACCTTTTTCTTAAATTTATTGCGGTATATAATGAATCGATTATCCCCACAGAAGTCAGTACAGAGCGTATAGAATCAGTAAGCAGAAATACGAGGAAAAAGAAAAACTGTTTCCAAATAAAAACACTTATAAACAACATTTTATTCAGCCGCTGCGACGATTAAAATATCTGCTTATGTTAATGTTAATAAGTTGTATTTTGTACCCAGTAATAGCCGGAGAGTATTCGCGAGTAACGATTTTGCATGTGCGCGCGCGAATGTGTGTATATAAATATAGTTTATATTTTATACATACCAATACTTTTACGCGCGGATACATACTTATTTTGCGGAACGTCTATCAGCGTACGTCTTATATACATTGTATACGCTTAATTCATATTGTTTTGCAGAAATATACAAAATCGTTATTCACGAATGCAACTCGCATAACATTGATTGTATCACTATGGATAACAGTGTTATTTAACAAAAAAAAATATGTGCAATAATCTAGTCATATATGATTTGCGGCTGTGTGCTATGTCCAAGAGAAGTAGCACAAATGTAAAAAATTTTCACTTCTGAGTTTATAATCATCGCGTATATACGAAAAAACGATATTCTGAATATATTTCCTGAAGCCATTCCCCGTGTGGTGTCTCTTCCGAGAACATCGAGACCGCTACTACAGCTCTCATAATTTTCTTTTTCTACTGGAAGAAAACAATTTTTTTCTCCTTCAATCTTACGCCCTGCCGACCCCTGCGGTAAATAAGCAATATTATGGATATAACGTAAGAGAAAAACTAACGATAATAAACATGATCAGTATAATTAAATTTCACACGGCTGGCCGAGCGCGCCGGCCGGCCCTCTGACGAAGGATGCCCATCCTTCGCGATGATACTGAAGTATTGGCCTCATACTGTCTGACGACGGTTGGCTTTCTTCGACAATGTCCCGTCGGAGAACTTGATATCGACTCTCCGTGCGACGTGCGCCCACGCATTCAAGCGGCAAGTTCGTAGTACGGTGTGTGATGGTACTTTTAGTTTTTGCTCTCAGTTCTAGGTGGTAGTCCAGATTAAGAGAAAGAAAGAAAAGAGATAGAGAGAGAAAGAGAGAGAGAGGAATCACATGCTGTCGAGGGAAGTGCTTTTTCACTTCGCTCTTTGCAGATAACCGAAATGTTATGGTTAATCAGTTTCCTTTCATTTCTGTTTTATTTCTTCCTTTTCCTTTCTTATATGTTGATTCGCCGGTGGCGAAGCGGGTGAAGCACGTAGCGTTTTCGATGCTATCGTGGTTCGATCTTTCATCGTTCGAAGACTGCTGTAAAGATCCTCCACGAATGTTCTTCGTGTCGTACAGATATGTCCGATATGTATTATTATGTCGTCATTACTGATGCTACGTTGGCACACTTTGTCGAATTCGGTCGAGTCATGAAGCGCGTTACACGTCCCATTTTTTCTCGATTTTTTCAATGCCTTTTTTATCATATATCTATCTTTTCTTTTTTTTTTCTTTTTAACTCTAGCGTCACTCGATCCCCGCGATAAAACGGTCCGTTCACGGTAAGCGCGTGGTCACAGTGATTGGTGGTAGCGTTTGTCGTCTTCCCGCTTTTCTGTATGTTGTCGTATCCTTTTCTTTCCTCGGTTAGTGTTGGCGCGCACGATGATTTTGGAATTGTGTATGTGATGTGGTATGTGTGTGTGTGTGTGTGTGTGTGTGTGTGTGTGTGTGTATGTGTGCATATGCGCGTGTGCGCGTGTGTGTATGCGATGTCTCCGTTCTGTCTTTATTAGTCGCACCCGTTACAGCCAAGTACAGATGGGCGAACCTTGCCATCTGCGCCGTCCATGATGAAGTGTTCTCGAACGGCGAATTGGTCCTTATTATGGAATCCTTCATTCTCCTCTTCCGTCCTCCTTTTACCTCAAGCCGACGACTGCAATGTATTTGCATATACCGTACTCGATCGCCGAGCCGTTTTACCGTTTTGCGCAGTTAGTGATTTGTGGTTGTTGGTCGAAGAAGAATTGGTCGAACGAGCCCTCAGTCGCTCCCGCGACGCTGCATGGCAATTGCATTGCTCAGCCGTACAGTCTCGGCTCAATAAGGCTGGGAGAATTGTCCCCCGGCCTGCGACTGCCCGGATTGATAGAAACCGCTACGGTCGCCCTGATAAGTTGAGTCCTGCGACAACAGGCCGTCCATCTGCGATTGGAACTCACCCACAGCGAACGAGTCTTGCGAAAGCTCTGCCTGGCTTAGTCCAGGTTGCGACAGACTGAAGCCCGGCTGCGACATGCCTTGTGTCGTGCCCTGAGTGAGTGGCAGACCTGGTTGGCTGTACGGCTGTGTGTTCTGTTCGGTTTGGCTGAGTTTGCCTAAACGTGGACCTGACTTATTTCTGGTGGTGCTGACGACGCCGCGACGGTTACGCTGATTTTGCCGCGCTTGTACGGCCTGCTGGTGCTGATTGTAGAAACGCGGCGGCACGTGCGCCATGTTCATGAACATACCCACCGGTACGGGTACGTTGTTCATCGCCGCCTGTGCTCTTTCCGGGCTGATATAGCTGATAGTGTCGTGGGTCCTGCTGAACATGTCCACCGGCATGTTTCGTTGATAGTACGGGTTGTGATTTTGCGCACCGTTCACTTGGCCACTGCCAGAGCGGTCGTATACCGAGCCAGGGATCAAGGCTTCTCGCGCATCGTACATAGATGTGGACATGAAATGAGAGCCTGGATTGGCAGCGTTCACGAGTTTCTTCGGCTTGGCAAACTGAATCATGGATTCCTTCAGATTGTTCAACGGGCCCTCGACCAGCACCTTTTGCTCCTTGTAGAAATTTAGCAGATGGTTCCACAGTGCTTGCTTCGAGAGCACCTTGGGATTGCCGACGATGATGATACCGTACTTCGCGCGAGTCAACGCCACATTCAATCTTCTAGGATCATTCAAGAATCCGATACCTTGATGTTCGTTGGACCGCACGCAGGACATTATAATGATGTCCTTCTCACGTCCTTGAAAAGCGTCTACACTCGCTACTTCGATCTCCTGGTACAATTTTGAATGTAAGGAGCCTTGATACTGCATATGCTGCACCAGGAAGGCTCGTTGGCCCTCGTACGGGGTGATTACCCCAATTTGCTCAGACTTCACACCGCAACGTAGAAATCGAGTAGTTATCTTCTCCACGTTGGACGCCTCGGTGCGATTCAAGTAAGACGTGCCGCTACCTGCTATCTCTTCTTGACCTTGCGTAACGTAAAAGAACATTGGTTTGTCTTGTACAGGCCAAGGGAAGTCGATCTTCAGCAACTTCCTCTCGTCAGCGCATACACCGTTCTGCAGAGAACCCTCGTAGAAGAAATTGGACGGGAATCGTGAGAGATCAGGATGCATTCGGTATTGCACCTCCAACCGAAAAGGTCTGATTCCGAGTACTACTAATCTTTCGAATAGTGACTGTGACAGGCCTGCTCTGGCTGCCTTTTTACACATTACCACCGGACCCAATTGACAGTGATCTCCGACAAGAATCAGTTGCTTGGCTCCTAGAACAACTGGCACCATGCACTCCGGCTCAGTGGCCTGCATACTCTCGTCGATGAGTATTGAATGGAACTTCAATCTGTGCAATCTTGGGTCTCCGGCACCGACGCATGTACAGCAGATCACATCGGCCGCCTCCAGTAACTCTTTCTCCGCTGCTTTTTTCAAAAGCCTATAACGTTTCTCATCGACACTTGACAACTCGCCCGTTTCGTCTTTCAGCTGTTGCAGCTTCTGCAGTTCCGTATTTGTCTCCATGTTTTTGATCTGATTGTGAAGCGCGAGGAAACTCACCGGCGAGTCGATGGCTTCTCGCGACTTTGCGCACAATCGCACAACCTTCAGATTTGACTTGTGTATTTTTTCGGTCAACTGGTCAACGGCGGTGTTGGAGGGTGCGCATACAAGAACCGGACCACCGTTTTGCTTCACGAGTTGATAAACTATGGTTGCGCTCGTTACTGTCTTGCCAGTGCCAGGTGGCCCTTGGATCAAGGACAAAGGTCGTTGCACCGCGTGTTTCACGGCGTACACTTGAGACCTGTTCAAATCGGGTAGATTCGGTGCGCTGAAATGCTTAGGAAGATGACAGCGGAACAAAACTTCTTCCACTTCGTGACCCAATAACCGATGATATATATAAGCCGATACTGATGAGTCATCCACAGCGAACTTGCGCAATGCCGATTGCATTCTATAATAAAAGATAAAAGTAAAAATACTCTTGTCGCGATGATAGTAAACGGAAAACAATACAGATCTATTGAAATTCTATTCTATACATGAGTATATTATTCTTACCGATCGAAACTTGTACTCTTCCAAATAAAGTCAACAACGAAGTTGCTGTTGCATTCTGTTGGCGCTCCAGAATTGTTTTTAAGCTCGATTCCAACTTCTTCTCCATAATTATCGGGGATTTTAATTACATGACCGATTCCCGACCAAGGTTTATGAAGTTCTCCAAGGTAACGGAGTCTCAACTCGTCACCGTGCATTAGTTTCATATCACCGTCCGTTTTAGCCAGCATAAAATATGCGATAATCTTCTTATTTAATCCAACATCCCAACGTACTTCGATATTTTCTTGAGTCTGAGATTCTTTCAATCGTTTGTCATAATCAGCTTCTAATTTTACAAGTGGACCAAAAATATTTTGATATTGATATCCGTCTTCGTAGCGCAGCAAAACTTGTTGTGGCTCCTCATCTACTCCGGGTTTTTCCAGATCTTGGAAAGTCGCGTCGACATTGTCCCGCCATAGTTCTTCCAATTTGTTAATCTGTTGCGCAGAGATCTGTCTGGCTCTTAACTGCTCCTGCTCAGACGGGATTTTCACCAGCCAAGATAAGAAGCTGCGATCTTCAATCAAAGGTTTCCATTGCTCCTGATCCCTGAATATTAAAAGCGATCAATTGATATATATATATATATATATATATAATCATATATAATATTTATGTACACATAGATATACACGTACATATTTTATTGTTTAAATATACACGCATATAGAAATAACTTGTTCTCACCAATTCATATCTTTCAAGGAACTCTGTGCCGCACATGGTTGTCGACAAAGTAACACAACCACAGAATCAGCTTTGGCAGGAATAAAGCCCAATACAAAAACATTTCTCGTGGCGCAGTTGTAACATTCTAATACCGTTTCACCGAGAGGACCGTCTCTGTAATATTAACATTAATAATAATTAATAATAAATAATCTGAACATTTCGAATTAACCACCCATACATACACACGCGCACATACACGACGCGTTACGGTGTAACGCGTAAGTAACGACAGATGAATATCTCCAAAAATTTTGACAGAAAAAAATTTTATCAGACTAAGTTAAAGTGTTTTAAAGATTTTTTCGATACACCTTTTCAATATATTATTTATTAGATTGTCTTTAATCATTCGACTGACTGTAGTCATTGAATTTGTCTCCATATGTTGTTACAATTGTGCATTCTAAAATGTAATTCCATTAAGAAGAAAATTAATTTGATTTGGAAATATTCTTAATGCATTCAGATCAATATAAATAGATATCCAAAAGCTGTAAGATGTTCCTAAAATTTGAAATTTTCTTTATATATCAATATTTTTAGAAATATTTTTTACTAGAACTATCCTACTTCACTCCTTCCTATATATATATATATATATATATAATTTATAAGAAACTTAATTATTACATAACTATAACTGCTATATAATTACTACTGATTATATTTGATTTATAACCAGTCTATATTTCACTTGTAATTAATATAATTTATAATTTAATATCTGTAATAAAAGATTTAGGAACTAACACACTGGAAGACATATAAATTAAGAATAAATTTCATATCAGGCAAAAGTATTACCTGTGTAAAGTGACTTCCTTATGTTTAGCACGCACGAGATGATTGATAATATGTGATCCTGAAGTATTACCACGTCCATTGCAAAACCACTTACGACAGACATTACACATGACCACGCAAGAAGCTTCATGGATACCACAGTATTTACAAGCATGATCAGGTAAATCACGATTATAGTAAGCTTCCTCCTCTTCTTCTTCAAATTGTAATTCTGCAAGACTTTGGGCTGCTCCAGTAATTTTCAAATCCAATGATGAACTACCACTTGTTCCATTTACCTAAATAATAATGAAATATTCTCAGATGCTATAATATAGAGAAAACGTTCTAAAATAATATGATTAAACAAAATTATAAAAATATATAAACATAAGTTACAGATATAAGATTTAAAAGTTGAATATTTCTATTTAAGGACTCCCGGATACACAGATGAAATTTTAAGCAGCAAGAGCCAAGTGGAAAAATTTATTAAACAAGGCTTACAGGTATAATTTAATTTCTTTTGTCTTGCTTTATTTCAAATATAAACATGTGTAATTTTACTTGCCTTCACACATTTAAAATATAAAAACTCCTTATTGCAGCTAAAGTGCGAGAATAATTTTGCAAAAATAAGATACACTTAACCTCGTGCTCGCAGAGCTAATTTGTGCGACAGAGCTCGACGATCTTCCACGGAACTATCAAGGTCACATCAGTGAATATTACGCTTGTTTGCCGAAAACCCGATATATCGGGGAATAATGCAATGTTACACTAGGACCGTTATAAAATGGTGATAAGAAATTTAAGCGCGAGTGGTAGGCCGTATCTATCATCTTTATTACATCAAGCATTAAAGAAAATAGCACGGTTGTACGAGGTTAGGTGCGTGCGACTACGTGGCCAAGAAAAACGTTCGAGAGAAACATCTCCACAGCATCCCCCATGCGATTGCCGTAATCGTGGAGCGAACATTCACTAGTCCCGGTACGCGTATGGTATACCGGGACTCCGTCCACCAACCTGTATAGGCTGACTCGATTGTGTTTGTGTCGCGTCGTGCTGCGAAGCCTGAGTCTGGCTCGGTGACGGCAAAGTAAAGTCCGTGAAGTCAAATTCGCTGCCTTGCGTGTCCGCGCCGATGAGATCAGCCTCCTCGGTATCGAGGAATGTCAGGGTCTGGCTGCTGGGCCCATACGCGTCCACGCTCATTTTGATACGGTCAGATCCGCTCTTCTTTGCCTGTCTATTTCCACAACCCTCGTTGTCCCTTTCGATGTCCCTGCCAGGAATAAAGTCAGCAGTCCGTGCGCTACCTGTCGCAGCGCGTACGCACACGTCTCACCAGCGTGATAACGCGGTCGTGGTGCTACGTGAATGACTGAATGAGCAAACGAGAAAGCGAATGAGCGACGCGAGCGCGTGATAACGAGCCGGTTTTTGATGTACGGCCGAGCGAGTCCACAGGCGGAACACTGATAATGAGACGGGTTACAGCGAGGCACCTCCGCGCTGTAATTGGATGCCCTCGTACCCACGAAAAAGCTGACACGAGTACACAAGATACCTCTGATACCTCTCGCGAGAACGCTCGTCTATGTTACGTCATCAGCTGATCGAGTCGGAATACAGAGAACGAGTACTGGAGAACGGATGTCGTTCATAGAGTGACTTCTGGTCTGTTCTTTTTAGCTACATCGCTGAACTGGTGCAATAACTTAAAAGGCCGGTATTCATATGGTCTGTTCTTTTTAGCTGCACTGCTGAACTAGTGCAATAAAGTTAGAATGAGACAATTATATTTTTTCTCATTTTAACTTACTGACTAAGGCCGCGTTCCGTTTCACGCATATGCGCGCATTTATATATAGTTCATGTTACATATACTATAGAAAATGCGCGCATAATGCGTGAAACGGAACGCAGTCTAAGTCAGGTCTTATATTTAAGACCGTCTTAAGTTCATCTTCAGATACTTCGTTGCTAATGAAATAGAGCCAGAGCACAGACTTCTGCATAACGCATAATACATAACGCATAAGAGAATCAACCAATTAGTTTTCTTCATTTCCCTCCTCAGGATAGAAATGAAGAACTCTGATTGGTTGATTCTCTTATGCGTTGTGTATTATGCGTTATGTAGAAGTCTGTGCTCTGGCCCTTTATCTTTAAGTTTATCTTCAGATGCTGCACAAATCATTTCATTGGCTATGGGGTATCTGAAAATGAACTTGAGACAGTCTAAAGGTCATTCTACAATACGTGTCGTAAGTTGTAAGCCGTAAGAATTGACCAATTATAGCCGATTATTTTTGTAATAATCGACTGTGATTCGCCAATTCTTACGGCTTACAACTTACGACACGTATTGTAGAATGACCTTTAAATATAAGACCTGACGATGAATACCGGCCATAGATGAGCAAATTGAAAGTTCACGTGAAATATTTCATGTTTTGAGAATTTACATTTCACGGTTAACATTTGAATCAGTCATTATATTTACTTACATTATATTATTATACTACATTATAACTATAAATTTCAGCTGCATAATGCTTATTAGTACGTTATACTTTACATTTTGTATACTATAATTACATTTATATGTTAATTATCTATATTATAGAAATATTACTTTTCACTTTTTTACAATTCACTTTTCATATGAAATTACTTACAGTGAAAAGTGCAAAATGAAAAAGAAGTTCACGTGAAAGATTCATGATCATTACCCCTGGTTTCTCTCTGCTTTCAGGCTTCTCTCTGGTGTCACCATTTTTCCATTTTCGTAGATGGCGCTTTTAGTGGTAACAGCTTATCGCATAGGTCCGACTCTTTGGACATCGGTTCGTTCGTCACACAATCGCTTGCATTATTCGGAATAGTGTCCTGACAGTCAAGTTGCTGTCAAACACGGTGTATAAAGGAGACATCAGTGGACGCCATGATGGTAGGTGGAACCTGTTATCATTCGTTGGCCGGCGGTCTGTTCTCTCGACGTGTTCGATCAGTGCAAAGTGTCACGATCAGCCCCCTTTTAAACGTACTTTACGTTTCTAATTGGCGCTAAAATGTTGCAGGACGGAATATGTGACACTGCCGACATTCTAAACAGCGTCCCTACCAAAAAAGTATTTATGGTGTTCTTTTTTCCATCTTAAATCTTAGTATCTTCCGACTAATAACACACTGTATCTTATGATAATTGTGGAGTATGCACTGCCATGATGTTGATGAATCTCTTCTTGTAGACAATCCACGCAGATACTATAGACCTCTCCGATAAGTCTCTGCAGGTGGATATTTCGGACGCTCTTAGTGAGAAGGATAAAGTAAAATTTACTGTACATACTAAAACATCTCTACCTGAATTTCACAAACCGGACAATCTAGTTGTGAGGCAACATGAAGAGTTTGTATGGCTCCATGATCGATTCGAAGAGAATGAGGAATATGCTGGTTATATTGTATGCAAAATCTTTATATTCTATATTATTATGTATATAGAGTATTATGTATGTAGAGTATTAATATAGAGATTTAACTTTATACATATGTTGATATAATAGATTCCGCCATGTCCACCAAGGCCAGATTTTGATGCATCACGTGAGAAGTTACAAAAACTTGGGGAAGGTGAAGGAAATATGACACGTGAAGAATTTAATAAAATGAAGCAAGAATTAGAAGCGTAAGTTTTATTTATATTTTTATTTTGCAAACTATTCTCATGTGTATTAATTATAAAGATTCAATAAAATTTAATTTTTATACTCACTATTTTACAGGGAATACTTAGCCACTTTCAAGAAAACTGTTGCTATGCACGAAATGTTTTTGACAAGGTTGGCACATCATCCAGTTTTCCGGAATGATCATAATCTAAGGGTATTCTTGGAATATGATCAAGATCTTTGTGTACGAGGTAATATTTTATATTAAGCAAAATATCACATATGTGTGATATGATGTAAACATTAAGATAATTGCTATGTCTTGTTCTCTTATCATAGGAAAGAATAAAATGGAAATGTTTGGTGGTTTAGTAAAGTCATTTTCTAAAACCACTGATGAATATTATCTATCAGCTACAGTGAAAGATGTAAATGACTTCTTTGATCAGGAAATGACATTCCTTCAAACTTATCACCATAATTTAAAGGAAGCAACAACTCGCGCTGATCGTCAAACTGCTAAGCATAAAGATGTAGCAGATTCATATATAAAGATTTCCACCAATCTCTTACAATTAGCTACAACAGATACTGGAAAACTCGAAAGATTTTTAACTAAAATTGCTGAGACTTTTGAAAAGTTGAGGGTAAGAATATATTTTCGGATCTTTTTATTAAATGAATTAATCCTAACAACATTTATTATAACAAGATATTATTTCTACTTAAAATAAAATGGAAATTTTTAGTGGTTTGGTAAAATTATTTTCTAAAACTGACGAATATTATCTATTAGCTACAGTGAAAGATGTAAATGACTTTGATCAAAAAATGACATTTCTTTGAATTTATCATAATTTAAAGGAAGCAACAACTTGTGCTGATCATCAAACTGCTACTTACAATTTTTACCTTTTTGTGTAGAAAGTAGAAGGACGTGTTGCGTCAGATGAAGATTTGAAGTTATCGGATACTCTTCGTTATTACATGAGGGACACAGCGGCAGCTAAAAGACTTCTGTTCAGAAGATTGAAAGCTTTGCATGCATATGAATCTGCGAATCGTGCCCTTGAAAAAGCTCGTGCCAAAAATAAGGATGTCCATGCAGTAAGTGTGTATTTTTTTATATTTAAATAATATTGGTCTTATCATTATATAGTTACAAGACTAGGTGTAATACACTAATATTCAAGCAATATACTAATATCCTCAGCTAAATAGTTATTACAAAGTAGCTCATGAAAATAACAAAGATAAATGAAATGTGAATAATGATTTTCTTGAAAGTGGTATTATACATAATAACAGAGTTAAAAGTGGAGCTGGTATTATTGCAGTTATTATAATTAAATTTTTTTTGTGATCTTGTGTAACATCTAATCAGAATTTTAACTTTTTTTGCTTTACAAGGCACTGGAGGTTGCTGAGGTGTGTCATATGTTGTTTTTGTTATGCATATATTTTTTGTTGTAATGCTTAGAAAATATGGGTTTTATTACTAATTTTTTTTTAAGTATATAAATTATTAAAATTACATTATAAAATAAGGATTTAGTCAGCATTAATCAGTATTGTGTAGATTAAAAGCATTACTTTAGGAATCTTATGATATTGACATGTGTGTATTTTGATGTATAAATAAGTTTGTTACTTAAGAATATTAGCAAAATTCTGATTTTATATTTTTACTTTAAAAAAGATTTGTTTCCATAAAATGTATTGTGTTTTATACATAAATGTATAATTTATATATACATGTATATATATGATGTGTTAAACAGAAAAATTGTCTTAAATTAATTATTTTTATACAAAAATTATTATCGGTATTATGCATGAATTATAATTGCATGCACAATTGAATATATTGTTATGATAATTTACATAACAATTTATGATGTAGCTATAATGTTTTTCTAGTAGAAATGCTGCTATAAATTTTGCTGATGGATATATTAAAATATACATTGCAGAACTGCATTTGAAAATACATATTGCATAACTGCATTTTTTAAATTTTAGATAAAAATTATATATATACATATAATCAATATTTCAAATATTGTATATTTTTATTAATCAAGGCTGAACAAGCGCAGACTGAGGCATGTGAGAAATTTGAGCAAATGTCTGATAAAGGAAAGGAAGGTAAGTAAAAAGATACGTCATTAATTAATTAATAACTTAGAAATAGTGCAGGTAATGTCATTTTCTATTACAAGAGTGAAGATGAATGATAGAATGAAAGAAAATAATATATACAAAAATAATTTATTACCTTAAACATATATAAAATAATTTATTACCTTAAACATATATATGTAACTTTTATTATTTAGTCAGAAAGAATGACGTTAACTGTTCAGAATTTAAAGTATTATTAATAATATTTGATGTTTCTCTTTCTTCTTTTTTTGTTTTTCTTTTATAGAATTATTGGATTTCAAGACTAGACGAGTGGCAGCATTTAAAAAGAATCTTATTGAACTAACTGAGTTGGAAATAAAACATGCTAAAGTAAGTACAGTTTTCTTATCTTTTACATTATATGTAAGCTTTATATATTTATGTTATGTTCACAGTCGCACGCAGAATTGCTCAAGAAATGTTTATCTGTACTGCGAGAAGAGTGATCTAGTTTTCAGATTGCCATGGACAAACTTACATGCATACATATTGTGTGCAGATAACAGATTATTTAACATTATAATAATATAATGTAATACTATTGTAAAATACTATATATTTTTTGTTATCTAGATTTATGCTTTGAAAATAAAGTATTGTATTATAGCTGCAAAGTGACTTCGAAAAAAAATTGATATTTGCTATCTTTGAGCTGTAAAAAGCTATATAAGTACTGCTATTGGTTCTGCTTAATAGATATTAAGTGTAACTACGTTTTTATAAGAGTTTGGATGATACATGCATTAGGAGAAATAATATGCATTTATATTGTAAAAAAAGAAAGTAAATTAGATGTTATCGAGTCCCTTTGCAGCTTCAAATTAACAGCCACTGTTATACATATGAAATAAGGTTCTATATATATATAAGATATATATACATATATATATGTATATATATATATGTATATATATACATATATATATATATACATATATATGTATATACATATATATATATATATATACATATATATACATGTATAAATAAGAATATCCATATTAGCATGTTATTACTATATTACTTAAGTTGAGAAAAAAAATTTGTCAAGAAAGGATTGCGAATATAAAAGCTCAGGATGATTAAAGTTAATATAAACGATTAGATTTTCATGTATAAACTTTCCAAGTTTACGATACGCAGTTATATTCTGTCAAATAATTCATAATAATGTTTGCATTTTAAGATTAGGGGATAAAAATACAGCAATGAGACTAAAGGGACCTTGAAACGAATTATAATAAAGTGCAATTATACTTTTCATCGTAGCGTTGTAATGTGCAATTGTTATGTTTCTACATTTTTTACACGTATCTTGGTTTAGCTTTATTTTAGTTGTTTATATAGATTGGATCAAATGGTAAACCATCTTTTTCGATTCATAAAATAAAATGTAAGTTTTGTGTATATCAATCAAACACGACAAAAATTGTTCTCGTCGGAGGACTGTGAATAACTGCACGCAAACGCTTTTGTAAGTTTTTATTGAATCGAATCATTTTTTTTTCTATAATACATGATTGTAGACATATACTGAGAAATTCATTAAGTTGTAAGTTTATTATTTAATTCTTTAAGAATTAATTCGAAATCCACCACAAATGTACCATACATTATCATCTTATCTTATTATTCCTATATAAGTATCCTATAATGAGTGCAGATAAACGCGTTGCGATACCAATGTCATATCCCGTTTATCGTGTACGTCAATTTGAATTAATTTTAGTATTGTTACACCGTACAGTTAATAATCTTAATGAACAAGAAAGGACGACACGTTAAAAAACATTTCGTATTGGTACGCAAATGTCACACTAAAATACGTCTCGCCCTCCTGACGCATGTCGATCTACCACGTCTTTCGCTCTTCCTCATTATTCATTTTTATTTTTCATTTGTCAATTCGTGTTCGAGTACGATAAATCATAACATCTATTGCGAACATTGATCGATATATTTTCGTAATGTATGATTTAATGGTCAATCGTTTTGGTCATTGTGAAACGTGGGCAAAACCTCTCGTAAAGTCCTTTAAACGCATTTCGCGATCGCAGCTAATCGCGTTAGAAATTATTACCATCAAGTTCGAGATCCCAGCTGAAATTTATCAGCACGTTTGGCTACGATAGTTCTCCGAATCGGCGATAAAAAACGGCAACGTGGAAATACACGTTCGGGAAATTGGTTCTTGTCCCACGTGTCTCCGCGTCGATTCGTTCGCGAGTTACGGCCTTTTAAATTTCCGCGCGCTCGATATATTGGCGAACGCTAGCGTTAGTTGGCGCTAGTTGGCTCTCTGTGCGTGCGAACGTGCGAATGAAAACGAGGTGGATGGCCGTCGATGGTCCTGTCTTCAAGTGGATAGCTGACGGTGCGACGTAGAAGTAGGAGAAAGGCCGCGTTCCAAAGGTACAATGTAGACGTGTTTATGACTTTGGAATGCGGACTTGTCCCTACTTCCAGGAAACGGTATCGCGACAAGTATGTCCGATCCGGTGACGCTGAGCCGATGCAGAGCGCGCGGGTTTCAACATTGGTGTCTTCGTTTCTAGATATCGTAGCGACATGAAGCATAAACTGCCAGAGAACAGACTGCCGCATGTTTGGCGTAGGTTTATTTTATGATATATATATGTTTAATTTATGATATAGCTGTTTTCCCCAAAATCAGAATTCATTGGCGAAATGAGATCCTCGCGATTGAGAATGTCGATTGCCTCTAGCAGGGGAAGAAAATTAACCTATAATAAGAAGCGAAAAACTTTAGCTTGAGTTGACAATATCGTGAAACATTCTTCGATTCTTAATGTCTATAAATGCGATCAAAAGGAAAAACGTGCGATAATAATTTCTCCTTCTGATTCTTATATTTCTGAAATTTAACCGAATTTATTTTGCGAAATTGCCTGGAAAAAAGACAACATCGAAAAATTGCAGATATGTATATGTTAAATTTTGCGTATGTATTGACACTTTCTCAGAACTCTGAGACACAACTTCCTGACATTATACATTATGAGCCATTTTTCATAAGTTGTTCGAATGTAGAAAGAGCTTACGAAGTAAAAAAATCTAAATTCTTCGAAAATGATGGTTTAGTTCATGGAGTTATGTTAATTAAGATTCTGTTCATATTTTAGGCTTTTATGGTGTAAAGAAATATTTGATTTGGTTGTGTATATGTACCGTGTTTCTCGGATTCGAGGAACTTGAAATATTCTCGAAACATCGGAAACAAATCCAAGATGGACGTGGTATACACACAAACCCGGGAATCAAATCAAATATTAAGACTTTTTTATTTGCTTTTTTATAAGTTTCGTTAGACTCCCACTTAAGTATATTTATCTCTATAATTTTGAAACTATATATTCACATAGAAACTCCAACTGATATATAAAGTTTGTCTTATCAATATAAGATAATACTACAATTTTATAAGATCAATATAAAACAATCATCAATATAAGATATCGATACACTTTAATTTGTTTATAAAACGAATGAATTTAATTCATTATTAATACGATTCGTGGTCCTTATTAATATATTTCTTCTCTTACGAATATCGGGGTATTAAGAGAATTTCATTTCACAATTTATGATAAGAGGTACGTGCTTTTCTCGACACACGCTATAAATATTTCGCTTCTTCATTAGTATTCAAAATTATATCCAGACTCTTGACTTTATGTTTTTGACCAGTCACGTCGTTGATCGAAAGTCTAAGAATAATTCGTTGCGAGCGCGCTACACGCTTAGAATATGAGTCGAAATATAATGCCACAGATCCGTTAATAACAGCTATAGCTTCATTGTATGATGATGATGGAGGGGAGGATGAATTCGATCCATTGTGTTATTTTTTAATTCGATTTTATTCCACAGGCTGGCATTATCATTGGACCATATTCCTGGAATGGCGGTGTCGCGGAGATTTCCATTCCAGAGAATTTATCGTTCTCACACGGTACAAACATAACGGGCTGGTTATCGGGAATGTGCGATCGTTGTTAATTACATGGCAGGTAATTATCGATTCTCATTGATCAATGAATTTCCATATATATGTACCGGATATCGTTTGCTATGATGAATTTTTCATAAGCAATGACGCGTCTAACGTGAGTAATTTTTTTTCATTTTATTAATATGAAATTCATATTACACGTGTTATACGTAAAAGGAAAAGCATGAGCTATGCAAGTTGTTAAATGCGCAAGCTGTAATTGCTTTGTAAGAAATAATCGACGACGCGCTTGGTGTGATTTCGTTCGATTCGCACGATTTCGTTCTGTACATCGGGGCTATATGAACGGGAATATAATTCCGCGCACTTTTTCGCAATTACTTTTATTATATATGAGGATTAAAAAATGTTCTACGACATAAAAAATTTATAATACTGTTTCGCACTCGTTATTGGCGATCCGTGAAAAAATTTCGAATTTAATTTTAAATCTTCGGTACATTTTCCTCGCCAAGTGATTCGACGTTTACCGTGAAAAATTATGACAAACTGAGAATCTCTGTAGGATCGGGATTTTTAACAGAGTTCCGAAAGAACCGTTGCTACAAATCGCCCGACAATATGTGCCGAGATTATACTGAATTTAAAGCGTACTAATACTTGCTATAACATCCGTCATGTGGTGGGAGACACGAACATTTGGTTGCCTGTCAAGTACCGGGATGTAGCTAGTAAACGCTTGGTTCAAGTGGTTTCAAAGTTTTATTAGCTGTCACGGCATGGAAACACGACTCTATTAATATCTCAGTAATTGAGAACGAAGCGTAGTCTTATAGAAATTATCCGGTCGTACTCACGCTGATAGTTGTGCGAACAAATCTGGGGTAGTTGACGATAGTTACGATCTTTATCACATTATATTTTGTATTTTAGGTCAGTCTCGCTTTAGGTCAGTTTTATTCACTTTAAAATTTTTACGTTGGTGTTAAGATTTGCGCTTCGCAGAAAGATAATGCAAAGTATAAAGTCAACAATAAAATGCGAAATATATTCGTCAACTTATAAAATTTCTAACTAAATTTTAATTTTTTCTCTACATTTTTCCTGCGCGCGATTTTCGGTTTTAAATATTTAAATATTTAAGTAGCACAATGTAATCCATATCTCTGAATCATCGACATGCAATCGAGGTCGAATGTAGAATTCAAATTGACGAGTTGCATATTCCGAATTTTACATTCACGTTGGAACATTGATAAGCCTTCACAAAGATGATTTATAAATTAATATATATCAGTTAGATCTTTTATAGATTTTATCGTCTAAATGTTAACTCTCTCTCTCTCTCTCTCTCTCTATGAGCTATGCATATTTAAAAAATATCGAACCATACACAGATAAAAAAGATTGATTGAATTAATGCTTGTCAATGAAAGAGACAAATGCCTTTTGATTGTAGGACACGGAATTTTTTTATTTTTACAACTGAATTTAGTTCATAAGAACCAGAAATTCTTTTTCCTCTTTTTTTTCTTTCTTCTATTTCTTTCAATCGAAATGCGTTTGATTATCATTGTCATGTTAAAAACGAAGATATGCATATGGACGTATAGATAGACACTCATCATTTTTTATAATTGTTTGTCCTTGGACGTCAGAAATGTTGTGCTTTTTGAACAAATTTCACAGTCACAGTAGTTTGTCGAAATATGTACGACAATATAAAGAATATTATTATTAGCTCTAACTCATTGAATGAAAATCATCGCGGCATATAGACAAATTTCAAAAATAGATTTGAGGACGCCCTTGTGTCAACGAATTTTTTATACGTGATATTTCCATCCGGAATGGTAATTTCCGTGAATTTCCGTTTTTGTCTTTCATTCCATC